ACTATTGACAATGACTGTCAGAGGTTACAGCAAAGTGTTTCTATAGCACCTTTTTTTATGTGATTTATTTTCTTACATAATAGTATTAGATATTCTTGTGCTTTTTTTGGTTAGTCCTCTGCATCTTAACTGAAAAAGTAATCAAAAGTTTTAATTTATCACCACTTTACAAGACCTAAATATTGCAGAAGAGTTGGTACAGCTAACTCACTTTACATGCCAGCCCTTTGTATGCCTGAGGTAGGTTTAATCCAAATTATTTTTTATAGATACAAAGAGAAACCACCTTCAGAAAGCCAACCATCCTCTCTAATTGCTATAGAGAAGATCCAAAGATGAGAAGGGCTGCTCTTATTTATTTATCTATTTATTTATTTAGAGTAGTGATGTCACTATAATAAGGATGAAAAGGTTCTGGGAGGGAAGGGTGGTAGACATAGCAGATTAACGCTTAATATGTGCCTTCCTCTATCACAGGCCAGAAGGCTAAAAACACATGCTTGGGTCCCCTGAGGCCTGGGTAGCAGACATAATTTAGGCCTGGCCGAACAGAAGCATTCACGTGACATTTGAAGGCCACAGTCTAGTAGCCGTGTTGAAGAGAGGACCAAAATTCCATTTAACTTACTATTCCCAAATATTTCCATTTAAACAAGTAATTAACATAATAATTTTAATAATCTATTTTATATTCTTTTTTAATACTAAGTCTTTTGAAATATGGCATAAATTTTACTCTTATTGCGATCTGCATTTTGATTAAGGCAGGGCTCAGCAAACATTTTCTGTGGGAAGCCAGATAGTAATATTTTAGGCTCTGTGGGCCAGCCACATACAGTTTCTGTGGTATATATTTATTTTTGTGTTTGTTTTAAACAACATTCTTAAGTATAAAAGTTGTTGTTACCTCCTGGCCATAAAAATAAAGGCCACCTCAGGCTGTAGGTTGCAACCTCAGCTTGAGTGTGATGCATCAGCCCTCCCCTCGGTCCTCTGACTCCTGTGCTAAATCTTTCCTGCATAAGGTAGCAAAAGGAGATTCTCTTCTCTGCAATGGAATGGCTGAACCTGCACAGAGGACTGTACTCCCCTTTCTGCAGAGGAGGGCACTGAGTTCTAGGGAATTTGAGCAACTTTCCCAGGTCCCATAGCTGGTAAATGGCGGGCTAGAATGAGAATTCACACCTAAAGTTCAATTCCAAAGCTCATGTTTTTAGACGCTGAATCAAACATTCTCTATTGCTGAGATGTTCTTTACCTTGATTAATGAACTTTCACTGATCCACTGATTTAGTCTACCAATGTTTATCAAATGAATATCTGTGCAACATTATGAATAATATGTACAACATATAAGTAATAGGGACATTGCTCTTACATTTAAGCTTATTCTTGAAAAGGTTCAGATTTCTTATCAATTTAATTTATGATATACAAAATGAAGTGCAAAATTGACAATTATTTGCTTGCTTCAATCAACATAAATGACAAATCAGATAATTCAGGAATGATCCAGTTAACCCTAAACTGGCAGAGGTACAAACATTTTATATTCTCACTCTAGTTCTAAATCAAAATCTTTTATTAGCTTTGGACATTATAAAGAGGTCCTAAAATAGATACAGAATCAAGGAGTAACAGCCTACATTTCACTTATGTAATAAGGGGCAAAGTAATCAATCCTTAGTTAGGCCAGTATATTAGTACATTTTCTTTCAGTATATTTATTTACTTGTGTGATTATTCACTGTATAAAACTTTTACCCACTGTTTTTGTTTGTTTGCTTGCTTGCTTGTTTGACAGTAGCCCTCCAGAATTCTCTGGCTTTGCTATATACTAAAGTAAATCACTCATTACTCCTCTTAACAAAATTTAATGGCCTCATATTTTAAATTGATTTCTCTTTGAGCCAATTCTCCATTACCAAGCCTTTCTGGAACTGCAGTTAAAATGCAAGCTGGATATTTCTGATGTTTCTTATTTAAAATCCAAGTAAATTTTTTTCAGTATCTCTTCTACCCTTAATTGTGCAGTTGGTCTATACACTAACATCTTGTGCTCATCTGTGTAACTCCCTGCCTTGATTATAATAATGTTTTTCATACAGTAAAGCTCCTAATAAATGTGCATAAATAAAATATCTGTAAGGGAAGCCAAGAAGCCTAGGAGTCTTTTCTCCTTTTAATTTTTCTTTTCAGTTCATGTGACAAATGACATTATTTTCAGTATACACTCTAATCTCCAGTGTAATTATCAAATGGGCTGCCATATTGGTTCCAAAGAGTTTGAGTTCGGGAGTACCTCCCCTCCAGGAGCAGGTAACAAATACCTTTGGGTGGAGGACTAAGAGCTTAAAGCATAATGTCATTAACTCTAGGGGTGTCTTTGTAGTATTTCTATAATAGGAATCTAAAAAGTATAAACTTTTTTGGATACTGCAAAATCTGGTCCAAAATGTTTTTTTTTTTTAATTAGGAAAAAAGAGTGAGAACACTTGGGGGGAAAAAGCATCCTTTCTTCAGAAGCTGAGAGGGGAAGTCAGGAAAATCCTAAACTGCTAAATTATATTATTAAAAGATAGACTTTTAAAAATCAAACTATAGCCCTGGCTGGTATAGCTCAGTGGATTGAGCACGGGCCTGTGAACCACACTATCATGGTTCGATTCCCAGTCAGGGCACATGCCTGGGTTGCAGGCCAGTTCCCGGCAGGGGACACACGAGAGGCAACCACACATTGATGTTTCTCTCCTTCTCTCCTTCCCTTCCTCTCTAAAGATAAATAAATAAAAATAAATTTAAAAAAATCAAACTATAGAATCATTTTTATTTTCATTAAAAATAAAATAAGTATCAATGATAATTTAATAGGATTGATATAATTCAAATTTTAAATAGTAAAATCTATGGTTGAAGTAGAGATATATGTGCATTTATGTTTGTATATATGCATATATTTTTAAATTAAATACTAAGACATTTATGTACATGAGATATGTCGAGGGAAATATATATATATGTATATAAGACTATCTTTTTATGTTCATGGAGAGAGAGTTGTAGCAATTTAAACAATGTTTTTATTATTCTTACCTACTTTTGCAATGTAAGTGAAGTTTTATTAAAATTCTAGCAAATTGATGATTGGCCATGAACTTGTTTATGTTTCATGTATAATTATTAAACTCACACATTTAATGAGCTATCTTCAGGCTCCTCAGCTTATTTGACGTTTCTTTTAAATTATAGACTAAAAATACTCACAAACATTTGCAGTGCCCATTGACAGCTGCCATGTAAATGGTGCCCTCTCTCACATTAGTGTGTACAATGGACTGTTGCTTCCTCTTAAGCATTTCTGTTAACATCCACATCTTACTGGTATTGAAAAGGGTATTGGGTTGAGGAAAGAGTTTCCACTGTACTAAAAACTTTTCTGACTAGTTTTATTTCCTGATACTTACGGTTGAACTGGCTTCTAACATTACATTGCTTTTTAATTTATTTAAGGTTCTGAGAAGTGGAAATGTTCTGTAAGTTATGTGTAAAGAAGTATTTAATGTCCCCAAAGAATAAAATAAGTGTCAGAGGTATGTGTAAAACTTGAAGGTACGTTACTGTAACCCTTTCTCTAGAGGAAAACAATATGTGGGTTTTAATCTTGGGTCATCTTATTTGTTCTTTTAAACAGGAAAACTATTTAACCTTTCTCAACTTTTTAAAACCTCTTTAAAGTTTTTGTAAGGATCAACACAGATAATTCCATTCATAGCATCACCTAGTACAGTACTTTATAATAAAGAATCACTGAGTGAATGATAGTTAATATTAATTTTTGTGTTATTGGGGAGGTGTGATTATAAGGGTAGGAGATGACATTTAGATCTAGAAATATAGGGGTTCATTATTTGCAGCTGACAGGATGTTTTGTATTGTCCTTTCCACAATAGAAGCAAAATAAGTTATTAGTATGGAGTTAATTTAAATATAACACAATTAACTAAGAGAACAGCCAGCACTGTTAAACAGGGACAGGTCCAATTCTGCAGAGCACAGAGGACTCTATGCCTCTAGGATTATAAAGGTGATTCACAAAAACTATTTGCACTTGCATTCTAGCAGTACTCATATTTTGCAAGTTGATAGTGTGTGTCCGTAAATTGAATAAGCAGCTGAGTATGTGGTTAGCACAGACTTTAAAGTAGTCAGTGGTGTACTGTGATCAGCACTAGAGGTAGTGAATAATTAAATATTCGGGTGTTGTAAGCCTGTTATTAAATCATTGGTAGCTTTAAATTGACCACAATAAGAGCATTTACACCATAGCAACTGGCAAATGCTACAAATCCCAAGTTGGGCCCACCCTAAAGACCTGATTTACCACTAAACTACTGATAAACTACTGATACATAAATATTTGATTGCCAGCTTTAACACTTAATTCTTTATTGCCTTTAGAGTGTTATTTTACTTTTCTTTCTTGAAATTTCCTCAAGGAAATATTATAATTATTTCTTCGTCACAAAGGTGCTTTGAGGATTGAGTTACTTTATGTAGTCACTAAATATATACACTATAAATGGTAGTTCATATTAATAAGCCAAAATCATGAAAGAGATACAACAAAGAGAAAATCAGAAAATAAAAGTAAATGAAAAACTTCCTGAGAACAATTAATTTTTAAAGATTTTATTTATTTATGTTTAGAGAGAGGGGAAGGGAGGGGGAAAGAGAGGGAGAGAAACATTGATGTGTGAGAGAAACAAGGATTGCTTGCCTCTCACAAGTCCCCCAAATGAGGACCTGGACTGCAACCCAGGCATATGCCCTGCCTGGCATAAAACCAGCAGCCCTTCAGTTTGTAGGCCTGCACTCAATCCACTGAGCCACACCAGCTAGGGCGAAAACACTGGATTTTTGCTGTGTTAACAGCTATCACTAAGTAAGTGATTCTAAATTTATAACAATATGTAATCCACTCAGTTCAAAATTTCACTCACCATGAAAAGATTGTTGTATGCTTTTCCACTCTCCCCAAAAGATGAAATGAGAGAACCAGTTTTATCAGAGGTGCTTTCTTGGTTAGCATGCTGCTCTGGGACTGGCTCATATAAACTGTCCATAGAGCCATCCTGCAATAAAGAGATTTGTGAGTCAGAAAAGAACAAAATGATCATTTTCCTTGAAAAGTCATCTAATAAGAGGTGGGTCACCAAACCCACCTCTCTATGTCACCCCATTTGAATTATCCCAGGCATAGAGATTAAGAGTTTATGGTGTGCCAGTTTTGAACAGTGAACAAGAAAGTGAAGAAAGACATTCTCACCACTTATTACAGAGCCAGAAATTCAAACAAGATTGTAAGTGTTGGAGAGCCATGCACAAAATGAGGTAATTTCTCAAGAAGCACGATGAAGACATCAAATTCAAGATACTAAATAAAGGTTAATTTGTGTACCAATAAACTGTGTTGGGTGTCAGACCTTAGATATATGCATGTCTTTAATTAGCACTATGTCCTTAAATGAGAAGCACAATCTGTTGTTTTATAGCTTCCTCAACTGTAAGGCAGCAGTTTTTACCGTGCAAAGCAATTGTCAGGACCAAATGCACACAGTATGTGCTTTTAGACAGCAAAGGTATTTCACAAGTACAATGTAGGCATTAATATTAAGGTTCATGTTTTTTTCATATTAAGAAATAATACTACTTATTTGTTTTTTTATAGAGTAATGAATTTTTTAGAAGTGCAAGTTTGCATTTAAAACCATCGTGAAGCATATTGTAATCTTTGTATTTGGGAAGCAAACGTATTAACTGAATTCGCTTGCTATATATTTTTTCTTTTTGAGACAGAATTGCTCTAGTTATGCATCATCTAGAAACAGTTTTAAGGGAGAGAGGTATGCACTAAATATATTGAAAATTTCTAGACATGGTAACTGTTGATGCTGATAATGGTGTCATCAATATAAACGTCACTTGGATTATAAAAAAGTCTTCATGCTTCAAACAATGAGGAAAAAACTGCTGTGTTGCATTGAAATGGTCTCATCTTTAAAAATGTATTTTAAGATACAAACAACATAAAGATTGAATTCTTTTGTACTGTCTGCCTTTGGAACTCTAAACCAATATGCTCTACAATTTGAAGTTCTTAAATAACCCCTGCTCCAAACACATGGCAAATTGTTAGAAAATTTTAAAAACCTAAATAAGACCTAAACATGTGTGTTCCAAAATACATAAATATATAGAGCATTCAAAACCTAACAAAACATAAACTGATAAGCAGAGGTAATGCTTTGTACCTAATAAACACCCATTCTCAAAGAGGTAGCACTGACCAGATTTTGGGCCTTGTGAGATACCATGCATTAGACGTGTGCCCTCCACGTAAAGCAAATTCCATGCTGAAATCCAGGAGCTACAGCAGCACTCACTATAGAAGGAGGCTGAAAAACAAAACAAAACTCCTTTCAACAGTTGTTGGGCCAGAAAAGCAAAATTCAATAATGCAGCCGCAAACTGGGATCTGAAACAAACTCAGCCAGTTCAGTGATTGGATGATTCATACACCAATCTTGGGATGAGGTCTCTGGACCAGAAATACAAGCCTTGATTCTACATTGGAGCCACAGACAGACTTGAGATCTTGCCTCACAACTGGATGGAGAAAAGGAAGAGACCAGGAAGGAGAGGAAGAGAGAGGGTAAGAGAGAGGAGAAAGAGAAAAGGGGAGAAAGTCAGAGACATAGGAAGCAGGAAAATGGGAGAGGAAAGAGAAAAATAGTTATCACTCAACAGTAGCCAAGGTATATGAAAGGATCAAATAATGAGAATGAGGGCCAACAGCATGGACAGTCTGAAAATGAAACCATTTTATTCAAGATAAAATTAAAATCATAAAATGGATGAAGAAATAATTTTTTAAGATTTTTAAATTTATTCATATTTAGAGGGGAAGGGAAGGAGAGAGAGAGAAAGAAATATTAATGTACGGTTGCCTCTCGTGGGTCCCTTGCTAGGAACTGGCCTGCAACCCAGGCATGTACCCTGACTGGGAATCAAGCCATGATCCTTTGGTTCACAGGCCTGCGCTCAATCCACTGAGCTACAGACCAGCCAGGGCTATGAAGAAATAATTTTAAACAGCATATTTATTACCTTCACAGAGCTAAATGAAAAACTAATTCCAATTAAAAATAATCTATGATGAACACAAAATAAGCAAAAATAAAACAAGAATGATTAAATAACAACAAAAAATTTAAACTCTTGAAAATGAATAATTATAGAAATTTGTGGTAAATAATCAAAAACTGGGATGAACTCTAGACTTTTCAAAAGAATTAGAAAGTGCTGAGGAGTTCTCATCAAGAGTATAGAATAAAAAGACAAATAGAAAACATGAAACATTCAGGTAGAAGTGGGAGGGTATATTGAGATTCTAGAACACAGGATTAATAGGAATTCTAAAAAACTAAAATTACAGAATTTTTTTTTAATTCAAGAAAATCATAGCCCTGGATGGTGTAGCTCAGTGGGTTGAGCGCAGACCTTCCAAACAGAGTATCACAGTTTGATTCCCAGTCAGGGCACATGCCTGGGTTGCAGGTCAGTTCCCAGTGAGAGACACACACACACACACACACACATATATATATATATATATATATATATATATATATATATATATATATATATAATCTGAGGATATATTCATTGCTTTTAGAAGAGAGTAAGATATATATTTATATATATATGAGGATATATTCATATATATATATATATATATATATATATATATATATATATATATATATAGTGGCCAGTCAGTATTTAATATAGGAATATAAGAATGCTTCAATATTTAAATACATATTAAAATATTTAAAAGAAAGTTTATTGTTTCAATAAATATTCTAAGGCATTTTAAAAATTTATTTTTCATTCATGACCTTAATAAATTGTAAAGAGACAGGACTTCCTTAACCTCATCAGGTTTAGTTATCAAAAGCTGCCAAAACTCAAGAAGTAATTGCATGAACACTAGACATGAGACTAGGATGCCTGCCTAGGCAGGCGTATTTCTCTCCCTCTCTCCTTCCCTTCCCCTCTAAAGATAATTAAATAAATAAATATTTTAAAAAATAAAAGATTAACTCCAGAATTTTTAAAATTCAGCAAAAGTTCTTATAATATCAATGCTTCAAAATTAATAATGTATCCATAAGTCAGACAAATTAAGAAAATAATAATCACAACAGCAACTAAAATTCTTAGACCCCTACCATTAAATGCAGCAAAATATGTGGAAGAATTTTATACAGAACATTATAAAACATCATTAACGGCCATAAAAATCAGAATAAATAAAAAATATGCACATTTGTGGATCTCAACCTGATAATGAAGCCAATTTTCTATAAAGAAGCTATAAAAATCAAATTAAAAATCTATCTTTTTTAAATTGATTTATTTTAGAAAGAGATAAAGGAAGAGACTAGGGGTTGGGGGGAATATCAATTTATTGCTCCACTTATTTATGCATTTATTGGTTGATTTTTGTATGTGCCTGGAAGGGTTATCAAACTCACAACCTTGGTGTATTGAGTCAATACTCTGAACAACTCAGCTACCCAGCCAGGGTCTAATCAGCTCTCTCCTTATCACAGATTGCATCAAAGATTTTTATATAACTTGCTGAGATGATCCTAAATTTACATAGAAGTGCAAAGAATTAAAAAGTTCAAATTTTGAAGGACAAGGATGGATATTCTTCAAAAGAAGATATATACATGGCATTATAAGCATTTTAATAAGTATGCAAAGAATAGGTATACGAAAAGGAATAGTGACAAAGCAGTGGCATAGGATAGAGAGTTCAAATAAAAATAGAGGCAGCATTTCAGATTGCTGAAGAAATGGTGCAGAGGTAATTCATTGGTAACCTTAAACTCAATAACTATATGATGGAGCTCAACAAGGAAATCTTCTTGTTTCTAATGAATGAGCTTTCTAAAAGCCTTGTCACAATGTAAAACCCTAAGGAAAATTCTAGAGTCAGAACAGCATATATAAAAGAATATTCCTGTCTCCCTTTGGAAAGAGAGATTCCATTTTGACTTTATAGATCCAAAATAATAGCGGTCACCTTTAATGGATTATTAATAGTACTCTTGGTTCACAATGGGTAGTTCATTAAGTTTGTCTTATATTTCTCTTAAAAAACAAAAGAGTTACAATTTCACCCTACACTTAAATAAGGAATGTTTAATTCTTACAACTGGCTTTTCTTAGTGGTAATCTTTATGAAATGCTTTTAAGCAACCAAGAGATAGCCAATCCACCAGATGCACAGTTCAAAACACTGATCAGGATGCTCACAGAACTGGTTGATTTTGGTTGCAAATTAGATGAAAAAATGAAGGCTACACTAAGTGAAATGAATGAAAATGCACAGAAAACAAATAGTGATGGAAAGAAAACTGGGACTCAGATCAATGGAGAGGACCAGAAAGAAGAAAGAAACAACCAAACACAAAAGAATAAAGGAACAAGAATTCAAAAAAATGAGGAGAGGCTTAAGATCCTTCAGGACATCTTTAAATGTTCCAGCATCCAATTACAGGGGTACCAGAAGGGGAAGAGGAAGAGCAACAAGCAGAAAACTTAGTTGAACAAATAATAAAGGAGAACTTTCCCAATCTGGCAAAGGAAATAGACTTCCAGGAAATCCAGGAAGCTCAGAGAGTCCCAAAGAAGTTGGACCCAAGGAGGAACACACCAAGGCACATCATAGTTACATTAGCAAAGATTAAAATGAAGGAGAGAATCCTAGAAGCAGACAGAGATAAGGGCACAATCACCTACAAAGGATTTCCCATCAGACTGTCAGCTGATTTCTCAAAAGAGACCTTATAGGCAAGAAAGGGCTGGAAAAAAATATTCCAGGTCATGAAAGGCAAGGACCTACATCCAAGATTACTTTATCCAGAAAAACTTTCATTTAGAATGGAAGGGCAGATAAAGTGCTTCTTAGATAAGGTCAAGTTCAAGGAGTTCATTATCACCAAGCCTTTACTATATAAAATGTTAAAGGGACTTATCTAAGAAAAAGAAGATAAAAAATATGAGCAGTGAAAGGAGAGCCAACTCACAGTTATTAAGAACCACACCTAAAACAAAAGCAAACTAAGAGGACAGCTAAGTCAGGAGCAGAGCCACAGAAATGGAGATCACATGGAGGGTTATCAACAGGGGAGTGGGAGGAGGAGAGCAGGGGAGAAAATAAAGAGAATAAGTAGCATAGCTGGTGGGGAGAAAATAGACAGGGGAAGGCAAAAGTAGTATGGGAAATGTAGAAGCTAAAGAATTTATGAGACATGGACATGAATCAAAGTGGGGGGAATGTGGGTGGGAGGGGGTGTGCAGGGTGGAGGGGAACAAAGGGGGGGATGGGACAACTGTAATAGCATAATCAATAAAATATACATAAATAAATAAATAAAATCACCATTCTAGAGATTTAAAGGTCAATATATTTATATATACCTTCACTTTATAATTCTGAAATCTTTCCACTAAATTAGTAGCTTTTAATCTCTTTTTTAAAATGCAGTGTTTCATATTTTTACATTCATACAAAGGTAAAACATGCTTTGAAATATGAACAATTTCTGGCCAAAAAAAGGTAACCCCACCCCTTTCACTGCTCACCACAGCACAGTGGGGTATCATAACACCCTGGTTTGGAGCCCACACACTAAATAACTTTATCTATTTATTCCACAGTAGAAATAAATAACACTTAAGGTGGCCATAATTTTTCCAAGTACTTTGTAGATATTTTCTTATTAAAGCAATTAATTTAGCTAAACATGTAAACTTTGGAATGCTCAAACAAAATAATTCAGTGCTCTTGATGGTTCAGTCTAATCCAACATGATTAAAGCAACTTTTTAAGAGTAACTTTAAAAGAAGAGAGTTACAGTCAATTTGAGTCTATGAGGCATGGCTTTGCAGCAATTCTTTTTGAGTTTTTGCTCCTTTCTCCATATCACAGAGAAAGACAATCATGCTCGTTATGTGGCTGTAAGTCTCTAGTGGCAGGATTACAAGCGCATGCCCCACCAGGCCAAGCCATGCTAAGGTACAGAGACATTAGCATATTGATTATAGCGCCGCTCAGAGCAGATTCGGAATGCAGTCAGCTGTGCTGCTACACTGCTTATTTCCATGGGAAGTATATTCATATAAAACCACATATAGCTCTTTTAGGTCAACTAGAAAAAAATGCACAATACCACTTAAATCACCTAAAATGGGATTTCTCTAGTCAGATTTATACGGCACAAAGCAAAGTGGGAGACTGGCAGTTATTTTGTAAATTGGGGCCATATAGGCAACACAAACCCGATAATTCTGCCTGCCACAACCACGATCACATTTT